AACCACATATTCCAATAAAAGCTACCCCAAACTTAATGTTATAGTTGTACATCTCAAACACATTTGTTTAGAATTCATGGTTCTAAGCATGACATCAATTTTTATGTAGTTCTAGATATCATCATCAGAGAATGGAAATATTCAGGGATAATATCATAAAGGTTGTTCCATACTTAGAAAGTCAACCAATTGGGAAGAACAAGGAAATCATAGATTTTCCAAATGAAACATCTATGCATAACATGCAACAAAAGAACATCTATGTCCTACAGTTAGGACTGAGAAACTTAGTATTTCACTCTTCAATTTATCTCAATTTCATTCACTTAATTCTGCTTTCTTTTTTAATTTTTATTCTTACTTGAATAAGTTACCAGAAACTAATGCAATATTTTTTTATTACCAAATCAAATAACAATTTTACAATATCAAATTTAGTATTTTACTGATTGAATATCTCTCACATAAGATAAGAGTTGTTGTGTGAATTCATTTTGCTTGTCTGATTTATAGTGATAGATGGAAGGTTTGGAGAGGGGGTTGCATCTAACCCCCATAAACCAACAATACTGAGAATAAAGCCCAATTTTATCCTAATATCATGATCCACTCTACATCTCAACCCTCACAACCACACTACTGGCAATAGTGAGTTGATGGAGCTAGCAACTGATCAAAATGAGATGGTTACTCCAGATGCCAAATCTCTTGCCTCTTTGATATGATGCCTCGAAACCCCAGGTAGCTATGGACCAATGAAGAAACTCCAGGTAGCTATGGACCAAATAAAAAAATCTCCAGGTAGCTATGTACCCAATGACCATCTATGAATCCCTCTCCACCTAAATGAAGTGTCAAAATCTCTGCTCTATGGTTTGTTTTACATATTGCATGACAAACAAAGGTTTCATGTCAAATATGCATCAGTTGTAATGGAGAACACCCATTCTGGATTTAACAGTCTAAATGGTCTTATATTACATTTCCAAAAGGATTTGTTAGTTTGAAAACAAGAATAAGGTAAATGTCTAGTTGGAAATAGTGTCCTCTTAGTCTTGAATTGTAATAAGATCTGATCTGTGCAATTTCAGGGAAAAAGTGTCTCCCCTCTCACCTAATAATAAAAGGGCAGCCCAGTGCACGAGGCTCCCGCCAATGCAGGATCTGGGGAGGGACTAAAGAATCACAAATGACAACCACAAAAGAAGCATGAATCATAAACACCATCTTTCAAGAATCTAATTAGCATCTGATGTAAATCATTATGGGCCAATAGGTAACCACACCTTTACAGATTAAGCAAATCGAGGAGCTGCAAAATCATCGAGTCCTACAAGGGCCAAGTAATCCAAAGTTTGACATTTAAAAGACCAGTGTCACAAAGGTAGATATGACAAATGCTTGCCTTAGTGGAGTCACTTGTGGACCTAGATGATCAGGACTTGATGTTGTGACAGAGTGATCCAAGAGGTATGTTCTCAGTTAAATCCTTCTGAAACAAATTAATAAAAGGGTGACAGAAAGTACTTCTGGAGTGGCATGGGGAATCAAAAGCTTCCTAGGGTCAAATCCTTCACACAGTTGGTAATGGTAGCTTTCTGCAAAATACTCAACAGACCCAAATGTAGGAAAGATTTGTGTAGTAATCAAATCTGTGTATGCTAAAAGAAAAAAAAAAGGACATTAATAATTTATTTTTGCAATGCAAGATGGCAAAGAAGATTTGGTGACTTTTCTGAATTATTTTCTAAGTGGATGGACAAGTTCAAGCTAGATTCATCAAATGATGCAATCATGGCCTTCAGTTCCTTTTGAGGTGAATGGAAAATACTATACAAGATAACACAATAGTTATCTACAAAAAAAGGGGGGAAATGATTTTTTGTTGTTGAATAATAAGATATATTAAATCATATCCAAAGAAAATACAACTCAGGGAGAGGCACGAGACACTACATCCCCTTTTAAGAAAGGGAGATGGAAGTTTCCATCTACCCTTTAGTTGATTACACAAAACAAAAAATGTCAGATAACCCCTTGTTATTTGGGGATGCAGTGAAAGAAAAAAAAATAAAAAATAAAATCTAGGGACTCAAGACCACTTGCCCACTTAAAAGGATTTGCAAGAAGACCATTCCTTTTACTGTGGAGTCAGCATTGGTTAAAAAAATCAAGGACAGTTTTTTAAAAGTGCAAGGCAAAAGAAAACTGCAAGGGGCATTTTGTGCCTGAGGTGCAAGGCACAATGTGAGGCACATGCCTTTTTTTGAAGCAAGGCATTTTTCTGGGGAGGGACAGATGTACGCTGTATGTAGCCTTACCCTTACACATTCAAAGAGGTTGTGCCAAGGTCCACCCTCAAAATTAAAAACATATCATTTCAAAAATGCAAACTTAAACTTTAAAAGAAACTAAATGTTTTAAAAGCCTATTGGCTCAAATTAAAATATATAAAACCAACTCAAAGCAAAAATGTAGAAATAAAACCAAACAAAACATACAAAACATATTCAAGCACTCAATAATTCAAGCATGTGAGCTTATGTGATTTTAAACATCTTGAATTCCTACTTATATGAGATAGGCCCTCCACCTCTCTCCCAAGCCCCTTAAGGCAAGCCCAAACAAGTTCGTGTGACCATCCTAAATTCTTAGCCAGTATATAGATTGGCTTTGTGGTTTTAGTTGCAGCACATTATATTTTACGATTAGGAATGAAATGTTGTTTGATGAAAATGTTTTGTATTAAGAAGGATGAGAGAACAACACTAGAAAAAAGGGGGTTCGGGTTCTGTTGGAGCGCCAAAAAGTAAGCGAAAGGATACTTCCAAGTTTTGCCAAGAGAAAGCATATACATAAACATGCAGTGAAATGTTCCAAGTCCTCTTATGCATTAAAGCACATGATAAGTGTTGACCTTCTCATTGGGAAACTTCCAACAAATGGATCTAATCTTGGATGGAATGGAGTTTTTACATATTACCTTGTCAGGAAGCCCAAAAAGGACACTCTTTTTTATCAACAACACAGAGAAGATCAATTCATTAGAATTTAAAAGAGGGAGATACAACAAGAAGTTGTGAAAAGAAAAAACACAGAACCCAAAAACAAGCAAACCACCCAGAAATATTACAACCCTGCCTAGTATATAATCTATCATTGAACCCCTTGCTTGGCTAGGCCATCTGCCAAACTATTTGCAGATCTTCTAACCCAATTAATTTAATCATATCTATTGAGAACCATTTGAAGCATCTGAAATCATTCCTTAGGTGCCAAATCACCCCTTCCCCCTTTTCAGACATTCCACAACAACTTTCAAGTTCCCTTCAATGATCAAATTTCTAATGCCCAATTCTTTGGCTTTTTCAACCCCAAAAACTAAATCTAAGAACTCTGCTCTAACTGCACCTCCTTGCTCAATTGGACCTGAAAACGTTGCATGTATATTACCTTCCCCACCCCTAATGACCCCTCCAATTCCTGAGGACCCTGGATGGACAAACATGCCACTCCATCATAATCGAGTCCTTTTTCGTTGAGAGAGAGAGAGAGAGAAGATTGTATGTAAATTTACCAATAAATAGATACTTGGGAGAATGGAGAGAAAGAGGTCAGTGTGTATATATATCTGCCACTAAAGAGACATGTCCTTGGGAAAACATGGCTTTTGATGGAGCATAACAGCAGGACAGGATTTGTGTAGCCAACCCCAATGGGAATAAGAATAAATTGAGTTGAGTTGGCTTGTAGACAACAGACATATCCTCTTTTTTTTTTATATCTTCTGAAGGGCTACACAATGGGGGGTAGCCCATCCCCCACCCCAGGTGCAGGCAGGATTCGATCCCAAGTCAATGCTATGACCAGCAGGAGACCTTACCAACCAGCTGGTTGGCACCTTGCAACAATAGACATATCCTTGGGGAATAAACTAGTCATCTATACAAAAGAAATGAAGTTACAATCCCCCGCTTTGGCCCAGGTACTCCCCATGCAAAATTTACCCCTCAAGCTCCCAATTTAGCTAGAAAATCAACTAGGCTATTTGCTAATCTAGGTCTCAGCATGAATGAGGGATCTGGATTGGCAGCCAGAGCTCTAGCTTCTCTAACTATGAATCCAAGTGTTCAAGATACTACACCCCCTGGAATGAAGTGTGGCCATCAATAGGCTTGAAGTGTTCTTGATTAAGGGAATTGTAGAATTTCATGTATTTAGGGTGCATAGGCATTGGAAAGTAAAATTAGTATGAGATTTTAAAACATAAAAATAAATACGAGAAAAATGAACTTAAGATATTCAAAGTTGAACTGCGAACTCATAAATGTAGGTAGTAGAATGTGCTAGATTGAAAAATAAATAAATAAGATCAAGGATGGGTGGATAAAATGGACGCAAACTTAACAGCTCCAATAATTCCAAACGGAATTCTCTTTAGAACAATAAGAACTGACAATGTCTTCGCTACTCGGACATGAGATAGAAATACGGTAAGATTAAAAAAAAAAATCCCCATTCCACGAATCCAATGATATAAAAAATGTGCCAAAAGAATCAGAAGTAAAACATAATTTCTCACAAACAAACAATCAACCAATTCCATCGCAACGAACAAAATCAATTATGATTTCATAAGGCGCTTCTCCAGCCATAACGGCCAAACGATCACCCACATCACTAGATACAAAAAAAGGCCAGTATAGTTCAAAAGACAAAAGACGCAGGCAACCTGTTCCACCTCTGAGGCCAAACCCACCACCAATACACTTGGAAATTTCCAAAACCACTCTGAACTGATTAACAAGAAATAATCTTAAAATCAACCTATCTTGACACGACCCATGTCACAAAATCAATTGAAACCCTAGAATTCCAACCATCAGAGCAATGTTGAGGATACCCATTGGAACCCTTCTTATCCCAAGAACAAACCCAAGCAGCATAAGGTGAAAGATACAATTGCAGGATTACAATCAAATTGGATCGCCATAACTGACCTGTTAAACATTGGCAGTGTTGGGAATTAGAGGGATCCCCTGCTTCTGTTGCTGCTTCAACCTCTCCTGTTCCTCTCGGATCTTCTGCATCTTGAGCATTCTCTCCATAACGAGCTCGTACTCGCACTTCTCGTAGACATGGCGCTCGTCCTCGCATTTCCAAGGGAGATATAACTCCGAAGCCCTGCATTTGTTGAGAGGGATGAGGAGGTGAGCACATTGGTCTCTGTAAGGCAAAGGAACCTTTGCATCCACCATCTCCTGCTGCGTTGCTATCATCTTCTTCGATGATCCTTCCACCTCCATCGGCCCTCTCTGGATCTCTCTCTCTCTCTCTCTCTCTCTCTCTCGCCTGTTTTTCCCTTCCACAGATTTCGTATATTTCTCGACTAGGCTGAACTGAACACAACCGCAACCCTAACCATTACCAGACGACTTTGTGATAGTTTACACCTTGCGGGTGAAAGTGAACCGGTAGGGAGAGCTGTTCGGGCCAATGAGCCAATCCAAGGTTGGACCAGGACCAGCCGATCAAGAAACTTTGGTTTGTACTTTGTACCTGGTTTTTACCTCGGGCCAATTTGCCCGTTTTTATTGGTCCAACCACGACTTGATAGATAATATATTGAGGGAAGCGGGTTTGCTGGTAGGCTTCGGTCAAGAAATGTAAAAGTAATCGTGGCAAAAAAGCCTTGCAACAATTCGAATTGGGTGAAGAAAGATTGGGTCCAGTGCAAACATTATTTTTTGATTATGTATTGTTGGATAGATTAGTGTTAAAATTATTTTTTTGTTAATTTAAAATTAAAAATTTTCTTCTATTATTAACTTTATTAATAAATTTATAGTAATATTCAGTTTTAGTCCAATCCAAACATTATTTTTTGATTATGTATTGTTGGATAGATTAGTGTTAAAATTATTTTTTTTGTTAAATTAAAATAAAAAAATTTCTTATATTATTAACTTTATTAATAAATTTATAGTAATATTCAGTTTTATTAATTCTTTAGTAAGTTTTATTATTTTATATTAGAACTTGTTGCTATTTTTAAAATGATTTTAAAGTCAACAAAATATTTTAAATACATTTATTATTTTAATTAGTTATATTAGACTCATTTTAATCATCTTCTTCTTCATCCAGACGGTAAAACAGATCGTACATTGACTCAGTTAGTTATCATCTCTATTTTTATAACATTTTTTAGTTTTTTTTCAAAATTTATATATGTTTTTCAATATTTTATCTATATATTAAAATTGGTCCAGCATCCTCTCCTTTGAGAGAATCTATTTATCTATTTTCTCCATTTTTGTATTTTTTCTTATTTTATTTTGAATTTTTCATTTTTTTAATTCCAAGTCATTTTTGAAACAACCAATGAGATGCACTTTCCCAATAACCTAAATAATTTTTTCTCCTAAAATTTCTCCTAAACTACCTCCCCCACTATCCCCCACTTTCTCCCAAATTATCTCTAATTCCTATTTATCCTCTCCCTAACTTTTTGTCTATATCTATCTAAAGAAAGTTTGTATTAAAAATATAAGAATTATTTAAATATACTAATAACTTTAAAATATTTATTAAAAACACAAAATATATCACGAAATTATGTACTAACAATTTAAATTTTGTTTTTCTGGATTATCAATTTAATTTTTTTCCAATATTTAATAATATGTAATAGTTTTAAAATATAAAATTAAAATAACAAAAATATTAAATTATTTTATAAAGTATTTAAATATTTAAATAACTAAGTATTTATCATAACTAGATTTTAAATAGTTAAAATAAAGAAATAATTTAAAGTGGAAAAATAATTATAACATAATATTGAAATTAATAATAATTTAATATATTACAAAATTAATAATGAAATTATGTAATAATAGTATAAATTATGATTTTATAGATAATTAAATTCAATAAATAATTAATAATTAAAAAATTAAATAGTTTACATATTATTTAAGTAGTTAAATAACTAAATGTTTTAAATATCAAAATATTTGACATAACTAGACTTTAAATAGTTAAAATAAAGAAATATTGTAATAAATTTAAAAAATCTCTAAAAAGTAGAAAATTAATTATAACATAATATTGAAATTAATAATAATTTAAAATTTTTACATAATATTGTAAATAGTTCATTTCACTTATATCAAGCAATAATTCGAGAAAATAACTTTCAAAAAAATTAATATTTATTAATAATAATTTTAAACTCTTAATCTGTATTTATTATACAATTGCATATACTAAAATTAATATTTATTGTATTTCAGTAATTATTTATTATTTTTTGTGATAATTGCATTTTCAATAATTATGTATAAATTTATTTTGTTTTGTTATTTAACAAAAAAATTTCAATAATTATTGGAGATTAAATTACTATTATTGAAATTTTTAAATTTAATTTATTATACTTAATGTATTTATTGTATTTTTGCTATAAGTTATTGATTAATATTTATTAGAGATTAAACTATTATTTGAAATTATACTATTTATTAACTAAGTTAATATATTTTTAGTACTTATTGTATTTTTGTAATTTCTATAATCATTGTATTTTTTTATTATCAATATATTTTCAATAATTGTGTGTTTTTGCTATAAATTTTCAATAATTATTGGAGATTAAACTATTGTTATTTATTAGAGATGAGACTATTAATTTAGTTGAAATTATGAGTATTCATGAGTTGGTTCAGTTCGGTCATAGGCTATTTGTCCAACCAAATTGACTTGGTCAGGTTAGGGAGTTGGTCAGTTGAAACCGACTAACCTTTTGTGAAAATTGACCCACTTAAGTTGTATCGATTTAGGTCGATTTTTTGGTTTAGTCAATCAATTCAAAAGATTTAACTTAAAAAATAAATTTAATTTTAAAAATTACAATGTAATTATTAAAAATAAATTTAAAAATTAGATTTATGATATAAAACATTTTAGACTAAGAAATATGAGAAATTTTCCACTTTTTCATATTAAAAATTATATTTAAAATATAAAATATTAATATATATCCATGGTTAGGTCGTTCAATTTTGGTCGGTTTACAAATGGCTAAAGTGAAACTGATCCAACTTGGTCGAATTGGGAAATTTTTGAACCAAAGCCAACCTAAAATACTAGAAAACTATCCAACCCAGGTCAAGTTAATCAGGTTGGTCGGTTTCATTAGTTTGATGAATAAACCTAACTAAAATTAATTATTGTTATTTTTGTATTATAAAAAATTTATAAAAGTAGTTTATAAAATATGAATAATTATTGATTATTGAAAAAAAATTGAAAATATAAAACAATTGTATACTCTTATGTGTTTATATTAGGGGCATTTACTAGAACACACCTTTAGGGATGGCAATTTTCCCCATCCCCGTCGAGGACCTGACTTCCCCAATTTGATGGGGCCAAGGATGTGGATTGTCTTGGCGGGGCGGGGATGGGGACAGGGATTAATAGGAATCCCCAGTTGGGGTCGGGGATGGGGATTGAGATCCTCGCCCTGCTTCGACCCTAATTATATATATATACATATATATATATATATTTAATGTTATTTATTTATATTAAATATACTATTATATTATTATATTATATATATCAAAACATATTTAAAACATTATTTATAATTTAAAATTTTTATTTATTTTAAATAAATTTATTTAAAAAACTATTGTCTAAAAACATTTGGGGATTTGGGTCCCCACGGGGAACTCATCTCCGTCGGAGATCGGGGATGGGGGTTAATTTCAGAATCGGGTTCGGGGACGGGGAATATGATCCCCACCCCGTTGTCGTTCCTACACACCTTATAGTTTTACATATTTACTTAAACCAACCTTATAGTTTTCATTTTACTAAAACATCCCATATATTTTACAACTTATTTACTTAATCAACCTTTCATTAAGGAGTGTTTATTTTGCCATTAGGCCCATGATTTTTTATTTCAAAAATACCCTTAACACTTTTTTTTGTATAAAAAACAAAATTGACCAAATATAACCAATAGAGTGGTTGTTCGTGTCTTATTAAGAAAAAATGTACTTTTATTTGTATTTTCTTTTGATTAAATGTATTTAAATGAGCATTAGGGTCAACATTGTCATTTTCCACTATCATCTAATGGAATATTGATTAAATCTATTGCAAATTATAAGTGGTGTTTTAGTAAAAAGCTAACTATAGGGTAGATTTTAGTAAATCCATGAAACTTAAGGGGTGTTTTAGAAAATGACCATTTTCTATTATTTAGCTTTCGCTTAATAAATCCAATGCATTGCATGGGTCCCCGCTAGTACATCTATTAAAAATAGGGGTTTGACCTTTTACCTAATGTTTGGAAGTTTTAAAATTTGGATGAAAATCTGAACAGCATAGACGTCACCAACTACAGCTATAGTCGGCACAACTGAAATACTTGCAACCTGTAAGAGTATTAATCTTATAACAGTTTGAAAATTTTAAGCGTTTGAATCTACTAAACTGAAAAAGTTTTACTTTGAAGGCTGAAACCTACAACCAGAGACATTTGAAACTTGCAATGTTTTTTTTTCTCTCCTAAAGGTGTGAGAGTTTGAGAGGTGAGATTTGGGTATGACACATCAGAAATTAAGGCTGCGCTTGGAAACGATACAAATGAAGTGTAAATCCCAGTTCAAGGTAAATTTGCACTCTAGTTCACTTTTGCCTATTGATGAAGGGAGATTTGGCCTGACCTCGTAGCTCAAGTACACGTAGGCGTGACCTAGCTCAAACAGTGACTCAGCATGACAACACAACGAACGTAAGCACAACTCGGTGGGGAGGTCCCACTGAGTTCAGCACGACAACTCGGCAGGTAAACTACTCGCCGAAAGCCGCCTCGCCTGCACCTCCTCCCCGGGGTTAAGGCACTTCGGGGGGTCCTGAGTTCGGGGCACCCTGACCCCTTTTGAGACCCGAGCTCCTCCCAATAGACCTCGGGCCACTCCCAAGCAAGAACGCACCGCTTCTTCTTCAGACGCCCCGAGGCACAAAGACCTCGGGTCGGCTAGCTCGACACAACCGGCTGCAGGCAGCCCGTCACTCAAAGGACAACCCAGCTCAGGGAAATTCGCAGGAGAACATCTCAGTATACCATAGGAGGGCTTCCTGCCCGACCGCCGTACCCGACAAACCTGCGAATTGCAGGCATGTCCCCTCGCCGCGCCTGCCACCTTTAGAAAGACGTCCCACACCTGACAAACACGTACCCTGCACGACGGCCCCGCGCGTGCCACCTCAGCCCTGCCTGTAATGGCTGTGGCAGACTGACAGTGGCGGTTATACCTGCCCTGTCAGAAGTCAGAGGGCCTGGAGCAATGGAATTCAGTTATAAGGAGCTTATCCTCAAGGAACAAGGTATCTGGAATAGCTA